GCTTGAGACTTGGATAATAAAAACGCATTATTAATACAGAATTGCTTAAATGGGATTTTTTATTTTTCGATTTAAAGCTTTCGTGACTGCAGGGATTAATCTTCTTGATTCTTTCGGTAAAGTAACGTAGAAGGGAAGTAATACAATTATAAAAATAAAACATAATAAAATAATTCTCACGACGTTTCGGCCACAACGCAAGCAGCCGTCCTCAGGTGAAAACCAGGTCTGTCGAGGCGACAGCGTCATACGTGACTTTACCGAAAGAACCAAGAAGATGGGATTATTTATTTCAGTTTTAACCCCCTCAAAGATAGAGAAAATACACGCTTGATCTTCTCACTCGGCCATGCCAACGTGCTTAGCAGTTAAACCCTAAGACAGGCTCCTTAAAAAGACTTCACAGTCAGTTGGGCCAAGATGAGTTCACGAGCGCCGATTCAGTTTGGCGCAACACACAAAGGGTGGTTGTGCTCAGACGCGGTGATCTCTCCCAAGTGATGTCCACGTTACCCTCGGGCATGGGGCAGAATAAATTCAGGTACAAGATGTGGCCGATGGTCATCGCTGGCCGGGTAACCGTGGCCGTGTAGGGATCGTAACAGAGCGCGCGCAGCTACGACAAAGATCCCCCGTAAGGCCTTTTCCGCAGACTAATGGGGAAAGTGCTGTTGGCGAGCACCCGATCAGACTGACAGCTGACGAGGCGCTAGCGTGGCCAGAACAACAACAAAAAGAAGTCACACCCGGCCGCCTTTGTCTGCCCAGTAAGCGCCGGCGTTTCCACACCGCACCAGCGAATACTTTTAGGGCTGAGTCTACCTAGAGGAGGACTTGGCAAGGAATTAAACTTCGTAGCGCAGTGCGCAAAAAGCCACTCTGCAACGCTTTGACGCACACACACACACAGAGACACGTGCACGCGCGCGCGCACTCACTCACACACACAAGAACACAAATGTTTGGGAATGAAAATTCCTGGCCCGATGTCTGGCTGCGCGTGGGGAGGGGCTAAACGGGTGAGCATCAGCCCCAGGGCTCCCTATTCTTCTCATTAAACAAGAGCCAAGTTTCTATCGGGCGGGTCCCACAGTCCCTCCAGCCCCGAAGCACCCACCCACCCCATCCCTCTGCCTCTCCACCCACCCACCCACCCTCCCCTTCCCATCCTATCCCCACGCCTTCCACTCTCTCTCTCTCCTTGCCGGCACTTGCAGACGCACGCTGGCGTTCACTACATTGCACGCGTGTGAGATAGCGGTCCTAACCCAAGAGCCATCCCACCCTTCCAGCGGGAGAAACGCGCCCTGTAAGTTTGCGTGCTTGCGTCTGCTGTCATCGGCTTCGTAAGCCACTGGCTCTGTAACAGATCAACTTCTTGCTAACTATGCACGTGTGTGTGTGCTCCACTGATTTTGAGTATGTAAACAGTAGTGTGGTACATGCATACATACAACAGAGTAAGTGTGTGTGTGTGTGATTAACTTGTGTGTGTTGTAACAAAATATAGTGTGCAGCCTTCTGTCAATTCACTGCTGGATGAACGCATTGATCTCCATGATAATGTCAGTCATAAGGAGTTTGTTTGACCATTCTTGACACCACGCCGGTCATCCGTGTAGGTTGATGAATGGAGTTGGATGCATGAATGTGTGCCTTATCTGTGCTTATTCATTACAATGTAAAGTATCGTGGTCACATCCACTTCACAGGTATGGCTACAGAATGGGTTAAGCGTATGTGCACATGCGCATAGACACACACATGCGTTCTATATTAGCACGTATGGGTATTCAATTCCACGTTTAACCATTTATATATCTAGAAACAATTATATTTTGGCAGGGATATGTGTAAGTGTTGTATCGCACGCGTGCATATATACTTAGACTACTTTTAAACAGTATGTACATGTATGCATATGATATATTGTCAAATCGTATTAGAACATACTCTGAACACATTCACGTATGCTTAGTCACACACGTAATACAATTCATTATTAACCGATTATCGTTTCATCATATACTCATGTAATTATGAATGTGTGTGTGTGTGAACATAAGTAGGGCTTTCAATGTGCTCACGCGGGCATGTATGTTTAGACACGCGAGCATGGAGGAGCTTCCCAACTTAAAAAAACACTTCACGTGTTTATACAACGCGTGTGTGTGTGTGCGCATTCTCACGTGGGGAGCAGGGGTCTAGTGGTTAACGCAACTTCGCTGCGAACCCAGCGGCCGAAATTTCGCTCCAGCTCACGATCAATATCAGTGGCGAATGTCCGAACCGGTCCTGGGTCCCTCCTAGGTCGACGTAGCCTTAAATGAGCACTCGGTGCAGTGTGTAAACATGAGCAGTGGGGAGACAAAGGCGGCCGGGGGTGGTGCTGACCACACAGCAGGTTTCTCGGGGGATCTTTGTCTTTGCATGCTCCTGGTGCCGTTCCCGTTCTGCTGTCACGTGCACCGGTGCCTACTCGATCCAGGGCGATTGGTGGCACGTAAAATAAAGATCGATTTCGATTTAAAGCTTTCGTGACTGCAGGGATTCATCTTCTTGGTTCTTTCGGTAAAGTCACGTAGAAGGGAAATAATAAAATAATACAAATAAAACATAATTAAATAATTCTCACGACTTTTCGGCCACAACGCAAACAGCCGTCCTCAGGTGGAGAACAGACTTTGTCTTCTCGACAGACCTGTTCTTCACCTGAGGACGGCTGCTTGTGTTGTGGCCGAAACGTCGTGAGAATTATTTAATTATGTTTTATTTGTATTAGTTTATTATTTCCATTCTACGTGACTTTAGCGAAAGAACCAAAAAGATACAGATCGATTGTTTTTGTATTGATTGTCTATGTGCGTATGTATTGCGACGCGTCCATCATCTGGAACGGCGATGAGGGAGGAGCAGGCAGGGCAGTGCTCATCAGGGGATTTGGGGAGGCATGAGGCTTGGAAACCGTCCAGTGTGTTGCGTTTCGCGTGCACGCCGCTCTGCTGCCACATCACCGCCGCTCCGACTCTGCCGGCCCTGACACCGAATGATCAGCTCGAGTCTGCTGCTGCTGTCGCTGCTAAAAATGCAGCCCTGGAGCGAGACGAATTTATGGAATTCGGTGCCACGAGACTGATGTGTTGCGCGGCATGCGCGTTGTTGTGGCGTTATATATATACAAAAAAACTGTTAAAAATGGGTTTGTAAAAAATATTTTTTTGTTGTTGCTCAATATTCTATTCGCTGCGCCTCGGGACGATTCCACTGCGGTGTACGTGGTTCTCTAGGCCGCTTTGCAGCGTGTTCTGAACGCAATTGGACAAGCCTGGGGCTCTGATCGGGATGTTCCTCGACCAGTGCCGGATTATCCCAGTAGCACAAGTAGCTAAATATGTAGTAGCTACGGGCGCCGCACTTTCAAGGGCCCCGCGCTAAATGCTTTCAGGCTATCAATTCCGGTTCAGTGATTCTGCACTTGCTCTATTACTATAGTACTGGACTGCTTTCAACTTTTAAGAACGACTGGGTGTTTAAGGTTAGCGATTTATCGTATCATCTGGCTGTAGTAGCAAATGAAAAAATACAATTACTTTAATATTCAAGTAACAAAAATTAAGTGTTTTAATATTTACGTGTTTTTATTTTATTTAGGGCCCCTTTATAAAATATGCTACAGGCCCCGCACTAGCTTCATCCGGCACTATCCTCGACCAAGCAGCAAGTCCGATTGCTTGGTCAAGTGTTAACAGGCTGTTAAGGGCAACATTTGATGTAAAGCGGGCTGCGAAGTCTGTGACTATGTCTGTGGACTCGTGCGTAACGTGCGCGACTCACCGCTGTGAGCCTCAAAACAACACGAGCTCGGCTCCGAAAGAATTTCTCTTTGCAAAAGACGCCGTGTGACCCCCACCACCACCTCCTCCTCCTCCCCCCACACCGAGTCTCGCCCGACAGTCGTCATGCGTTTATGTGGTGACGGATTTGATAAGTGGTGACGACGTGGGGTTAGTTGCGGATAAGGTTGCATTGCTCCGCAATTATTTTCTTCTCGGAGTCTTTGGTTTTTTTGTTGTTAAAACGACGGGTGCAACGTAGCGCCGGACGGCCTGGTCGTCAATCGCAGCCGACGTGAGAAAGTCTGTCGCCCTGGATGAGCTCTCGTGCCTGTCGACGGCCCCTAAGGCACGGCTGGAAAGTCCACAGTCGTATGGCGGAGCCAGTCTATCCCCACGGTTAACACGTGCGCACAACCGCAGGTGCACACTGGGGCGTTTTAAAAGCTCCAATCATCACTGGACATCTGTGAAAAAGAGCTTTGAAGCTCATCGGATTCTTTCAGGATGAATAAATATTCCGATTCTAATATTTGAAACAGTGGAAAATTTACTAGAATCCCTCCCGCCTCTGTGCACCTGGTAGTATAAATGTGTCCACCACAGTTAGTAAATCAGCATGATGGGATGTGGTAGGGTAAAGTGTGAGTACTCCCATCTCTTCCTAGACATCCGGCCAGCGTGGAAGAGTAGGCCAAACACCTCAGAGGGGCTGGCTATGATTAATTTAGTGGAGGCCCTTCCACATGCAGTGGTGTGAGCAAGCAATTGCAGTGCTGCACCTTTACCTATGTTCTTTACCTACGATAACATTTATGGAATAAATACATGTACAAGCCTATAATTAAATGTCATACACATACTGCCGCTAAATGCTCTATTAGTTTAGTATAAAGTTGTAATTTATACAAACACAGCACGTGTGTGTATATATATATCTACGTGGAACTTTATGCAATGATTTAAACCGCAGGTTATATTTCACATGCTGTTGTGGACAAATCAGAATACAAAAAACACCTTTGTGAAGTCACGTGTGGTTTTATACTCAGCTGGGTGCCATGGCGCCGCCAATTCTAACAAGCGTCACCAGTGAGGGCTGAGGAACTCGCTTCACTCCACGAGTGTGCTCACCGCATTCATTGACCGCTCGAGAGAGCGAGCGAGCGTGAAGTGTGAGTTACCTCTAGAGGTAAGTTCGCAAAAGCGTGCCTTGCATTCGCTCACGCGTTGTCCAAACGCAACAGATAACACTGGTCAACACACTTTTTCTGGCATAAGGTATTCTAACGGGTTTAAGGTAATTTTGGGGTGCTGATTCCAAATCTAGCATCAACTTTTGTCTAACACATCAGATTTTTGAGATATCAAATATTGCATTTTCAATAAAAACTGCAGAAGAAAAATATTAAATAAATGTGGATATCTACATAAAATGATGTTATAAACACACTATCCTAATAATACAGTATCATATTTTAACCCTAAAGCAGTCGCTGACTCGCAACAACTTGCAATCATAAGTGACAGAGTTAATTTCGGGTAAAATCAATGAAAATGGGGTATGCCGATAGCATTAAAATGAGATGTGATAGAGCAAATATGAGATCAGATTTGGAATCAGCACCCTGAAATTAGTCTAAAACAGCTGCAAAAGTCCAGGCCAGAAAAAAAAGTGTTTTTTGTTGTTGACCAGTGTAATGGACGTGGCCCATTAATTCAGAGAAGCTAGGCAAGGACGAACACTCGAGGGTTTCGATATTCACAGAAGGACGTGATCTTTAAAGGTGTATTGAAAATTGTTCATACTGCTACTGATACTCATGCTGTTATGGAGTGACTCATGCAGCCAGCTATGGCTGCCAAGTTTGGTCGTACATGTTATGTCGTTTTGTTGTTGAATTTGAATCACAGTTCCTATGATCACTGTTACATTGTTTTTATAGCTTTTTTGGTGATTTTGAAAACGTTTTGGTTTAGCCATGTTTGTTTGTTGTAGTACAGAGTTATCCTGATAACTTTAATTTAAATTGTCTTATGGTTGCTATTGTTTGACTTGCATCCCACTGGGATTTTTGCACAAAGCGTTGATATACGGTGTTTTTTCTGGAAGTCTTTGCTGCTTTTTCCTGGATTTTTCTGTTGCGTGCAGTCACTTTAAGATGTTTCTTTTCATGTTTTTGTTTGTTGCGGTTGCATCCGAGTCAAGAGCCGCATGGCTCACAGAGTTTTCCCTAGTAAATGAAACTGAAACTGAAAGCCGCTATGGTACAGGGAGTTCGCGAACGCCTCTCTCGTGGCCTAACGCAGCACACGGTGGCGTCAGCACCACTGCAGCACACCTGGTGGACTTTGCGCAGTGCTGAGGTTCATCCGCAACCACAGAGTTAATTCGTTTGTTTGGGCCCAGCCCTAATAGAGAGGAAGCCCACGCCAAGTTATTGTAACAATTGCACCCAGTGCCGGATTATCCTAGCAGCAAAAGTAGGATATATGCTTACGGGCCCGGCACTTTCAAGGGTCCCGCGCTAGATGCTTTCAAGCTATCAATTCCGGTTCAGTGATTTCCCCACTTGCTCTATATTACTATAGTACTATACTGCCTTCAACTTTTATGAACGACTGGGTGTTTAAGGTTAGCGATTTGTCGCATTATCTGGCTGTATAGAAATTTAAAAAATACAATTACTTTTCTGTGCAAGTAAAAAAATGTGTGTTTTAATATTTATGTGTTTATTTTTTTATTTAGGGCCCCTTTATAACATATGCTACAGGCCCCGCACTCGCTTAATCCGGCACTGATTGCACCCTCCTGCACGCACACACATTATGGGGTTTCTGCGCTATGCTGTCTTGAACGTACAATAATTTACTTGAGGAATCCACGAGACTGAACAGGGGAAATGAAAGCACTGTTTTCAGAGTGAGCGTTGTTTGCGATCCGACGGCTGAGATTGAGAACCGCGCCAAAGGAAATCCAGAGGACGCGGTGATTTATTCCAACTTTGCACACATGTTTGCAGTAAAAATGGAGCATTAATCACCAGCAAAAATAAACGCGCTGTTCGCACAAGACTCGTACGATCAAAGTGAATCACATTTGCATGAATAATCTCTTCGTATTATAAGTTGGACCTGCCAACGCGCTGAATATATTGTTATTTTTTTATCACTGTTTTTTTTGTTTCTCCGTTTACCTCTTCTATAACCTCTTCTCACACCGTTACACTTGAACACGCTTTACTTAGAGGCGGGGGAAGGGAGGGGGGCGAAACAAAGTGCTGACAACGCTGCAGTTGCAGGCTACCGTGGACCGCCGTTGGGTGTTGTTCTGCCACCGATCCGTTTGAGTTCGAGCAAACAGCAGCGAGTGAGACGCCGTCCATAGCTGGGGGCGGCTGTGGTGGTGGTGAGGTCAGTTCGGCTGGCGCCACTGGAGGGTTCTCCCCGTCTATTGTTCGGCATGCAGTCTGCAGCTCACAGAGAGACGCCCCCTGGGACTGTGGCTTCAGTGGATAGTAAACACTCTGGGTCACTGCTTCACGTCGTCAAATATTCCATCCCACCCCCCACCACCTCCCCCCCCCGTGTAGCCTTAACAGACTTTTGGGGCAAGTGCTTTTTCGCGAGCAAGCGCCTATGAAGGCCGGCACGGCACACGAGGGGGTGGGTGGCCAGCGTCACGCCCGACCGCCTTTGTTTCCCTACCGGCGATTTGTAAACAATGTTTGCACAAATTTTGATTTAAAGCTTTCGTGACTGCAGGGATTCATCTTCTTGGTTCTTTCGGTAAAGTCACGTAGAAGGGAAATAATAAAATAATAGTATTTTATTATGTTTTATTTTTATTCTGTTATTATTTCCCTTCTACGTGACTTTACCGAAAGAACCAAGAATATAATGTTTGCACAATGCACTCATTTGAGGCTGAGTCAACCTAGTTGAGGCCCAGGACCGGATCAGATAATCACTGGTGTTGGTCGTGAGCGGGAATCTGACTCGGATTCACCGGGCTCGGAGCGGAGTGCGCTAACCACTGTGCCACCGCTCCCCACACGATTTCCTACATTTATACAAAAGCAATGGGTGCAACGGGTGGCACACTTTATTTACAATGCAGAAATCGCTGCTTCGATCGCCCGGTGCGGTAGGTGAAACAATGGTGCAGGTTTCTTAAATTCCCACTGCCTCTTTCCACCCAGCCGTATAAATAGTTCCACCACAGTTATTCAATCGGTATGTCACGTGCGATGGGATGAAGGGTAAGTCCTCCTCCTACCTCGTCCGTGGTGATGTCCGCCCAGCATGAACAAGTAGGACAAATACCCTCTAGAGGGCCTCCCTTCTGCCAGCGGTGATGTGAGCAAGCACTTGCAGGGCTGCACCTTTACCTATTTTCCACAAGCAAAAAGCCCTTACCTGGACTGGATAAGACATCAGGGCATCGAGCTGTCCGTGATCATATTTGTGAATCTTGCCAATGTATTGCATCGCAGTGCCGTGAACGAGCGCGTGTGGCTTTAAATGCAATCCGTAACGTTGGTTATTTCCACGCTCTCTCAAAACAAAACTCGGCTATTTCTTGAAGGTTGACAAACTCCTTTTAGAGATGTATTGTAACATGTTTATGATTATCTTTCTGAGTTACGTTGTTCCAAGCACACCACAATTGTCCATATTTTCCTGATTGCTGTAAGAACAAACGCTTGCGCACAGACACGTAGAAACCCCAATTTTATCAAAGTAAAAATAACGATAATTTATAACCTTACGCCAAATTCATCACTGCGCGTCTCTGCAGGCCGTGTCGGTTGTTGGGGGATATTTTTCCATATTTCATCACGCTTCGTGTGGACTCACTGCTCATGATGTCAGCTGCTCCAGGGAATAAGAACCCAGATCTCCATGGTGTGTGTGCCAACCGTTGCACAACTTCCCCTACCGCTTTACGGGCATATGTGGTAGGAAACGGGCCAAGAAGAATAACGTTGAATGTTGGAATGTTCGTTGGTTCGTTTCTCAGTCCGCTTGTCCTGGTGAGGGTCGCGGCGGCGGCAGCGTGTTGAGTAGTGGCGGTCCACACCTCCCTGTCTCTGGCGTCAGACTCTAGCTCTACTACACTATACACTACTATACACTACACTACTATACACTACTATACACTACACTACTATACACTACACTAATTTACTATACACTACACTATACACTACACTACTATTCACTCCACTCCACTATACACTACACTACTATACACTACGCGACTATTCACTACACTATACACTACACTATACACTACACTATTATTCACTACACTATACTCTACACTACTATACACTACACTACTCTACCCTACTATACACTACACTATACACTACTCTACACTACTATACACGACACTATACACTACACTACTCTACACTACTATACACTACTATACACTACACTACTCTACACTACTATACACTACACTCTACACTACTATTCACTACACTGTTCACTACACTACTATACACTACACGACTATTCACTACACTACCCTATACACTGCTCTACACTACTATACACTACACTATACACTACAGTACTATACACTACTATACACTACACTACTCTACACTACTCTACACTACACTATACACTACCCTACACTACTATACACTACACTACTATACACTACACTATACACTACTCTACACTACACTACTCTACACTACTCTACACTACACTATACACTACTCTACACTACTATACACTACCCTACACTACTCTACACTACTCTAAACTACACCATACACTACTCTACACTACTCTACACTACTATACACTACACTATACACTACTCTACACTACACGACTCTACACTACTCTACACTACACTATACACCACTCTACACTACTATACACTACCCTACACTACTCTACACTACTCTACACTATACACTACTCTACACTACTCTACACTACACTATACACTACTCTACACTACTCTACACTACTCTACACTACTTTACACTACACTATACACTACTCTACACTACACTACTCTACACTACTCTACACTACTATACACTATACACTACACTACACACTACACTACCCTACACTACTATACACTATACACTACACTACTCTACACTACTATACACTACCCTACACTACTATACACTACACTATACACTACACTACTAT